GGGGCACCGGCTAGTTGAGGTAGTTAAGGTAGTATGTACATGTGGGTAGAGTTAAAGTGACTATGCATAAATAATTAACAGAGTAGCAGCAGCGTAAAAAGGATGGGGTGGGGGGGCAGTGCAAATAGTCCGGGTAGCCATGATTAGCTGTTCAGGAGTCTTATGGCTTGGGGGTAGAAGCTGTTGAGAAGACTTTTGGACCTAGACTTGGCACTCCGGTACCGCTTGCCGTGCGGTAGCAGAGAGAACAGTCTATGACTAGGGTGGCTGGAGTCTTTGACAATTTTGAGGGCCTTCCTCTGACACCGCCTGGTATAGAGGTCCTGGATGGCAGGAAGCTTTGCCCCAGTGATGTACTGGGCCGTACGCACTACCCTCTGTAGTGCCTTGCGGTCGGAGGCCAAGCAGTTGCCATACCAGGCGGTGATGCAACCAGTCAGGATGCTCTCGATGGTGCAGCTGTATAATTTTTTGAGGATCTGAGGACCCATGCCAAATCTTTTCAGTCTCCTGAGGGGGAATAGGCTTTGTCGTGCCCTCTTCACGACTGTCTTGGTGTGTTTGGACCATGATAGTTCGTTGGTGATGTGGACACCAAGGAACTTGAAGCTCTCAACCTGTTCCACTACAGCCCCGTCGATGAGAATGGGGGTGTGCTCAGTCCTCTTTTTTTTCCTTGATGGCCAATAAGCTAAATTTTAGTCTCATCTGACCAGAGTACCTTCTTCCATATGTTTGGGGAGTCTCCCACATGCTTTTGCCGAACACCAAACATGTTTGCTTATGTTTTTCTTTAAGCAATGGCTTTTTTCTGCCCACTCTTCCGTAAAGCCCAGCTCTGTGGAGTATACGGCTTAAAGTGGTCCTATGGCCAGATACTCCAATCTCCGCTGTGGAGCTTTGCAGCTCCTTCAGGGTTATCTTTAGTGTCTTTGTTGCCTCTCTGATTAATGCCCTCCTTGCCTGGTCCGTGAGTTTTGGTGGGCAGCCCTCTCTTGGCAGGTTTGTTGTGGTGCCATATTCTTTCAATTTTCTAATAATGGATTTAATGGTGCTCCGTGGGATGTTCAAAGTTTCGGATAATCTTTTATAACCCAACCCGGATCTGTATTTCTCCACAACTTTGTCCCTGACCTGTTTGGAGAGCTCCTTGGTCTTCATGGTGCCCCTTGCTTAGTGGTGTTGCAGACTCTGGGGCCTTTCAGAACAGGTGTGTATATTTTGAGATTATGTGACACTTAGATTGCACACAGGTTGTCACGACTTCCGCCGAAGTTGGTGCCTCTCCTTGTGCGGGCGGCTATCGGCGGTCGTCGTCACCGGTCTTGTAGCTGCCACCGATCTACGTTTCTTTTTCTATGTTGTTTTGTCTTGATTGTACACACCTGGTTCCCATCACGTTATGATTATTTCCCTATTTAACCCTCTGCTTCCCTCATGGTTTTGAGCCTGATTGTTCTTTGTTTGGTGTTATGTACTGCTGTGAGCATTTGTATTTCCCTGCGTGGAAATTAGATGTATTGCTTTTCCGAGTAAAGTTTGCTATTTACTCAGTTCTGTGTCCTGCACCTGACTCTGTCCTACCGCTGCACACTGACACCTGACACAGGTGGACTCTATTTAACTAATTATGTGACTTCTGAAGGTAATTGGTTGCACCAGATCTTATTTAAGGGCTTCATAGCAAAGGGGGTGAATACATATGCACGCAACACTTTTCTGTTATTTATTTTTTAGAATTCTTTGAAACAAGTAATTTTTTTCATTTCACTTCACCAATTTGGACTATTTTGTGTATGTCCATTACATGAAATCCAAATAAAAATCAATTTAAATTACAGGTTATAATGCAACAAAATAGGAAAAACGCCAAGGGGGATGAATACTTTTCCAAGGCACTGTAGATATATCAATGTAATTCCACCCAACACAATGTTGAAAAACAAAATGCTTCCCACCACTAGATCACATAACTAGACGTGAGCTGGACGTGATCCCAATGCTGCCACCAATGTAGCGGAAGAAAGTGAAAGCTGCAACAGGGACTCTAACCAGGGCTCATACAGTGAGGGAAAAAAGTATTTGATCCCTCTGCAAAACATGACTTAGTACTTGGTGGAAAACCCTTGTTGGCAATCACAGAGGTCAGACGTTTCTTGTAGTTGGCCACCAGGTTTGCACACATCTCAGGAGGGGTTTTGTCCCACTCCTCTTTGCAGATCTTCTCCAAGTCATTAATATTTCGAGGCTGACGTTTGGCAACTCGAACCTTCAGCTCCCTCCACAGATTTTCTATGGGATTAAGGTCTGGAGACTGGCTAGGCCACTCCAGGACCTTAATGTGCTTCTTCTTGAGCCACTCCTTTGTTGCCTTGACTGTGTGTTTTGGGTCATTGTCATGCTGGAATACCCATCCACGACCCATTTTCAATGCCCTGGCTGAGGGAAGGAGGTTCTCAACCGGTATATGGCCCCGTCCATCGTCCCTTTGATGCGGTGAAGTTGTCCTGTCCCCTTAGCAGAAAAACACCCCCAAAGCATAATGTTTCCACCTCCATGTTTGACGGTGGGGATGGTGTTCTTGGGGTCATAGGCAGCATTCCTCCTCCTCTAAACACAGCGATTTGAGTTGATGCGAAAGAGCTCCATTTTGGTCTCATCTGACCACAACACTTTCACCCAGTTCTCCTCTGAATCATTCAGATGTTCATTGGCAAACTTCAGACGGCCCTGTATATGTTCTTTCTTGAGCAGGGGGACCTTGCGGGCGCTGCAGGATTTCAGTCCTTCACGGCGTAGTGTGTTACCAATTGTTTTCTTGGTGACTATGGTCCCAGCTGCCTTGAGATCATTGACAAGATCCTCCCGTGTAGTTCTGGGCTGATTCCTCACCGTTCTCATGATCATTGCAACTCCACGAGGTGAGATCTTGCATGGAACCCCAGGCCGAGGTTGACAGTTATTTTGTGTTTCTTCCATTTGCGAATAATCGCACCAACTGTTGTCACTTTCTCACCAAGCTGCTTGGTGATGGTCTTGTAGCCCATTCCAGCCTTGTGTATGTCTACAATCTTGTCCCTGACATCCTTGGAGAGCTCTTTGGTCTTCGCCATGGTGGAGAGTTTGGAATCTGATTGATTGATTGCTTCTGTGGACAGGTGTCTTTTATACAGATAACAAACTGAGATTAGGAGCACTCCCTTTAAGAGTGTGCTCTTAATCTCAGCTCGTTACCTGTATAAAAGACACCTGGGAGCCAGAAATCTTTCTGATTGAGAGGGGGTCAAATACTTATTTCCCTCATTAAAATGCAAATCAATTTATAACATTTTTGACATGCGTTTTTCTGGATTTTGTTGTTGTTATTCTGTCTGTCACTGTTCAAATAAACCCATCATTAAAATTATAGACTGATCTTTTCTTTGTCATTGGGCAAACGTACAAAATCAGCAGGGGATCAAATACCTTTTTTCCTCACTACATGGCAAAGTGAGCTCTAACGGCCAATGCCATGAAAGACAAGTAGGCCTCTAGGCAGAGGTGGTAGGCCTACAATAACTTGTTACAATATCCTAAGTATATAACATGATTGACACAACTGTAATAATCATCATGAAAATGCCTTGGAAGTGCCATAGGTGTAAGCCACATAATTCATTATGGTATCATGTAGTAAACAAAAAAGTGTTAACTAAATATATTTTATATTTGAGATTCTTCAAATAGCCAAGCTTTGCCTTGATGACAGCTTTGCACACTCTTGGCATTCTCTCAACCAGCTTCACCTGGAATGGTTTTCCAACAGTCTTGAAGGAGTTCCCACATATGCTGAGCACTTGTTGGCTGCTTTGCCTTCACTCTGCGGTCCGACTCATCCCAAACCATCTCAATTGGGTTGAGGTCGGGGGATTGTGGAGGCCAGGTCATCTAATGCAGCACTCCATCACTCTCCTTCTTGGTAAAATAGCCCTTACACAGCCTGGAGGTGTGTTGGGTCATTGTCCTGTTGAAAAATAAATGATAGTCCCACTAACACCAAACCAGATGGGATGGCATATCGCTGCAGAATGCTGTGGTAGCCATGCTGGTTAAGTGTGCCTTGAATTCTAAATAAATCACAGACAGTGTCACCAGCAAAGCACCCCCACACCATAACACCGCCTCCTCCATGCTTTACGGTGGGAAATACACATGCGGAGATCATCCGTTCACCCACAACGCGTCTCACAAAGACATGGCGGTTGGAACCAAAATTCTCCAATTTGGACTCCAGACCAAAGGACAAATTTCCACCGGTGTAATGTCCATTGCTCGTGTTTCTTGGTCCAGCCAGGTCTCTTCTTCTTATTGGTGTTGGTTTCTTTGCAGCAATTCAACCATGAAGGCCCGATTCACACAGTCCCCTCTGAACAGTTGATGTTGAGCTGTGTCTGTTACTTGAACTCTGTGAAGCATTTATTTGGGCTGCAATTTCTGAAGCTGGTAACTCCAATGAACTTATCCTCTGCAGCAGAGGGAACTCTGGGTCTTCCATTCCTGTGGCGGTCCTCATGAGAGTCAGTTTCATCATAGCACTTGATGGTTTTTGCGACTGCACTTGAAGAAACTTTCAAAGTTCTTGACATTTTCCGTTTTGACTGACCTTCATGTCTTAAAGTAATGATGGACTGTTGTTTCTCTTTGCTTATTTGAGCTGTTCTTGCCATACTGGTACTGTATATAAAGAATGTGGGACTCAAAAAAGGCAGTGTAGAACACCATTGTCCAAAATGCATTGCTCCAATAAGTTTGTCCCCCAAAAATGTATTTTCCTACGAATGAAGTCGCACCAAAATGTGTGTATTTTCACACGAATTAAGCAACACAAAACGCACAAAATCTGCTGAAATACTTTTTGTACATATTTGCACTAATTGAGTGTGAGATTGTGTTGGATCTGTCAACTTTACATGGATCTGTAAACTTTATATTGATCAGTACTCCTCTATGTCTCTTCTAGATGGCTTCTGGAGACACGTCTGACATCAGTTCCAGGAGATGTCTTCTCCAACCTGGTCAACATCTCAAGGATGTGAGTGAATCACCATCTGCACAGTCTCTTTTCACCATTATTCCCTTCCTTGACCCTCTCTTTCTTTCTCTCTCTCTGATCATCATCACAAATTCTCAACTCGTTAAGCCACAAAGCTATATTTAAATTCTTAATATCCCAACTCCACATCATCCACCTGTCTCTTTTCCTCCCTCTGATCCAAAAGATTGGGATCACAGATCCAAGCCTTTCCACAGAATAGCGACTTGAGAGAGGCGGGCAAAAGAAGAGAGGGAGCGAGCGAGAGAGAGAGCGGAGAGGAGAGATACGAGAGAGTGCGAGAGAGAGCTAGAGCGGAGAAGAGAGAGAGAGAGAGGAAGAGCAAGAGAGAGAGGAGAGAGAGAGGGAGGGACGAGAAGAGACCGAGGAAGCGCGAAGCGACCGCGGAGCGTAGAGAGAGTGAGGCTGGATCTACTAGATAGAGCTCATAGATATCTAGTTATCTCTCTCTCTAGCGTATATCTCTATATCTCGTCTCTATCTCTCCGCTCTCTCTATCTCTCTCTCTCTCTCTCTCTCTTCTCTTCTGCATATATAATAATCTCTCTCTCTTCTCTCTCTGGTCTTTCCTCACCTCGTGTAGATGATCTGTTCTCTGTTTAGTATCACCGCTGTCTGCTAATCACAGTTGGAAGAGCTAATGCGTTCCTAGAATAGGAATGTCGGCATTCCCACCGCAAGGGCCTAGGCATCGGCAAGGTATTCCAGTAGAGTCGCTGTATGGATTGGTGCCTCTTTCAGGGAACGGTTTAGATGATGTGGTAAAATATACATTCAGTAGAAAAAGGTGGAAAAGGGTATCACCAAGCCAAAATGTTAAAAGCAATACAAAAATTAGAAATGTAGTTATTTTTAGAAGACTTCTCTGACAATATACACTAGCTAGGCCTTGCTCTCAGCCTGTGAGGCCAGTGGCTGTGTCCAAGTCATGCATGAGGAAAGAAGAGAGACAGAGAAAGAGAGAGCAAAGGAGATGTTTTCCCCAGCCTCACCCAGCACACCTCTATATCGCCCAACAGAATAGCAGGTTAGCGATTTTCGTCATGAATCTTGTTCTGGAGGCAGCTCTGCAGAGTGGTCACTAGCTGTCATAAAATCTGATTTTAAACCTAACCTTAACCCTAACCTTAACCACACTGCTAACCCTAGTGCCTAACCCTAACCTTAAATTAAGATCAAAAAGTAAAAAAAAAAATATATATATATATATATTACATTTTTACAATATAGCCAATTTTGACTTTGCAGCTGCCCAGTTCTGCCTCCATGACAAGACTCATGACAATAAACTTCAACCTGCAACAGAATACTGGAATAGAGACCCTTTTTAACCTGTAATCTACACAGTCTAGACTGGAAATAAGTTTTTGACCCCCTTAATTTACAGCATGTAAATAGTATTTATTAGCAATCAGGAGCAATTCTAGTCTAGTGCGCTGCACTTTAAATACTAACCCCGCTTTCTCACAATGAAGAGACGCATTCCATTTCTGATATAGATTCAGAGTCTAAGTCTCAGTTTGTTTTATATGCCATTAGACTACACACTAACTACACAGTAGTTACTCAGTAATAACAAATGAAAGCAGTGGTACTGATGACTGGGTAATGGATATGTGTGGTTCATACATACCTGTTAAATTACCCATGGATTTAGAGGCTTTGGGAGAAGTGGGTGGTTAAGTCTATAGGACTGAGGCTAAAGCTTGGTTTTGGATTGAAGATGATCATTAGTCTAGTAGCTTTACTACTCACAGTGGTTCAGGTACACTCCCCTCCGTATTTATTTGGACAGTGCAGCAAGCATTTTTACATTTGGCTCTATACTCCTACAAATTAGAATTTGAGATCAAATGTTTAATATGAGGCAACAGTATAGAATGTCACCTTTTATTTGAGGGTATTTTCATACATATATTTTTTTTAGCTTCCCTACCCCCCCCCCCCCCCCCCATTTGAAGATTTTTGGACAAAAGAATTTGGACAAATTCACTTATAGTGTATTAAAGTAGTCCAAAGTTTAGTATTTGATCCTATATTCTTAGCACGCAATGACAACATCAAGCTTGTGACTCTACAAACTTGTTAGATGCATTTTCAGTTTGTTTTGGTTGTGTTTCAGATTGTTTTGCCCAATAGGAACTGAATGGTGAATAATGTATTGTGTCATTTTGGAGTCACTTTTATTGTTAATAAAAATAGATGTTTCTGAACACTTCTAGAGTAATGTGGATGCTACCATGATTATGGATAAAAATGCTAGCCTCTCCTGTTATTGGTAATGTTGAGATGTTAGCGTTTATTTTGGCGGTATGATCTTTGTTCCGCTGTAACTTTCTCACTCATCATTATTCACAATTCATTCATGATTATCCATACTCATGGTAACATCCACATGAATGTAGAAGTGTTCAGAAACCTTATTTTCTTATTTACAATAAAAGTTGGGCACAACGTAATCCGAGGCAGAAACCCCCAAAAAACTGCCGAATGCATCCAACAAGTTTGTAGAGTCAGAAGCTTGATGTAGTCATTGCATGCTAAGAATGTGGGACCAAATACTATCCTTTTTACTACCTTAATACACTATAAGTGAATTTGTCCAAATACTTATGAAGAAAATGTCTTTAAATGGGGGGACAAGATGCATAAAGTGCTTTCATTTCTAAACCGTAAAACCGATATGTATGAAAATACCCTCAAATAAAAGGTGACATTCTGTACTGTACCCTCATATGAAACATTTGATCTCAAATCCAAAATGCCGGAGTATACAAAGTTGAGCTTCACTGTCCAAATAAATATGGAAGGGAGTATATATGAAAGTAAATCCTATGTTGTATATTAACCGGTATGATTGCACAATACTTTTAATTATATTTGATCAAATGTTACATAGTAAAACCATATGTGTAAAGAATGTGCAGGAAAGAGTGCAAAATGGATCTTTAATTTTATTAGAAAGACACCGTATGTCTTTCTGTATATTGAGAATCACTATATCAAAGTATGATGGTTTCTTTCTTTCAGATACATATCAGTGGACGTGACACTGGCAGGACTTGAGAGGCATTCCTTCTACAATCTAAAGAAAATCACCCACATGTGAGTAGAGGATATGTACACTCCCCTCCAGATGTATTTGGACAGTGAAGATCAAAATACTAATTTGGCTCTATACTCCAGCATTTTAGATTTGAGCTAGAATGTTTCATATGAGGTGACAGTACAGAATGTCACCTTTAATTTGAGGGTATTTTCATACATATCTGTTTTAACGTTTAGAAATGAAAGCACTTTATAGATCTAGTCCCCATATTTGAAGAAGTCATGAAAATACCCTCAAATAAAAGGTGACATTCTGTACTGTCGCCTCATATGAAACGTTTGATCTCAAATCCAAAATGCTGGAGCTTCACAAAATGTTTTGCTTCACTGTCCAAATACATATGGAGGGGAGTGTTTTTTCTAATAGTGACTCTTATGAAACATACATTATGGTGAAGAAGTTAGATGACTTTGCCTTGTTATTTTCAGGATCGGAAATAGTTTTCACCGCTTCTATGCCACAAACCATTGCGAGCATCAGCATTTGCATACATGATCAAGAGAAATTCTATAACTGTTACCCAACAGCGTTTCCATAACAGTTACGGTTGACAACAACATTTCATAAGGTCTGAAGAGCGTCACTTTGCCGTCCCGTGTTACTCTAGAGTAGCACTTTAGCACAGTGGCTTTTGACGTAATGACGTTGGAGAAAATAATTGATATATTGAGTATCTGTCTCCTGTCCATCATCGCTAGGCCTGGGTCTAAACAGACAGACGTAACAACATGTAACTGGAGATGTTAGGGGAGAGGGAAAGCCAACAGTCAATATGTGGTTTTCCTATCCATGCCTGAGCTGCTGTAGAAGCTGGCATGCTTGAGAGCATGTTGGTTAGTCTTGGTTGTCTCTATCTCCTTAACTGCATCTGATGTATGTTCTCTCTAAGGTCTTACCACTAAGTTACATGGGATGAAACTAATCAAGCTGCTTCATCAGCATAATACACAATTGGCCCAGCGTCGTCCAGGGTAGGGGAGGGAATGGCCGGCAGGGATGTAGCTCAGTTGGTAGAGCATGGCGTTTGCAACGCCAGGGTTGTGGGTTCGATTCCCACGGGGGGGTATGAAAAAAATAAATAATGTATGCACTAACTGTAAGTCGCTCTGGATAAGAGCGTCTGCTAAATTACTAAAATGTAAATAATACAGAACACTAACTTTTCCGTTATCTCATATTCCATTGACTGTCCCTCAGCACAGTCCCCACTGTGAAAGGCTCTATATTTGGCCAATCCCTGTCCTGGCTCACGCTCTGTGATAGGCTCAAAGTGTAGAGACCAAGATGGTTTCTCCCACCCTTTCTATTGGCTCTCCAGGGCCTGTTCAGACCTGATTGGTCCAGTGGTTGTGCCACACCACATAATAATGGCATCGTTCTTTGGTTTCCTCCAGGGGTCAGAAACAAATTCATGTTGGGCTTCCTGTCAGCTGCTCGTGGCCAGTGGGCAGGCAGCAGCTGTTAGGGCTGAGGGACCAGGAGGAGGTGGAGGGTGGCGAGAGCTGTTCAGGGAACCAAGAAGCTGTGGGCTGGGAGGGAGGGAGGGAGGGAGGGAGTGGAGTGTGGGATGGGGGTAGAAGGGTGGAGGGTAGCGGTTCACTGCACACAGACACACCAGCTTGGGGGCTGAGAGGGAGGGAGGAAGGTGGTGGAGGATGAGGTGGGGTGGAGGTTGGAAGGTAGAGGAGTGGGTAGCACTTCACTGCACACAAACACACACACACAGTGGCTCAGACTTCCAGTGGTCAGAACATGTTGGCCAGGGTGCTGATTGCGGTTACCCAGGTGTGCGAAAGAGGGCTAGGATCACACGTTCCCCAGCATTCATCCACACCACATGGGTTAGACAAGCATGGGCTTCACTACGGCCGGGGCGCACCAGAGTCAACACACTAATGAAACGTTAATTGAACCTTGACTTCCGGAGTTAGATGTATGTGGAGACTTTGGAGATTTTCCTCCTGGTCTTTCCGATAGACAGACATGCACCTTACCCTCTTCTGTCAGCACTCAGTGTGTGTGTGTCCGTGTGTGTGCATGTGTGTGTGTGCATGTAAGTAAGCATTTCACTGTTAGTCTACACCTGTTGCTTACGAATAAGATTTCATTTGATGTGTGTGTGTGTGTCAGTGAACCTGAAGCACATACTTGACCTTGAAAGAACATGAAAGGAAGCTGTAAAGGTCTAGTGGGGATGAATACAACCCTTGTATCGACTGAATATATACGACACAACATGTCCTGTATGTTCAGTGACACAGGAACGCCAAATTACTAAGCAAAGCAAAGGATGTATGAGCACTTAATCCTAGGATACACAGAAGAACATGTCAAACTGGAAAACATCATGTTGACTGTAATTCTTGAGGTGTATTTGTGTTTTCCATTTCAGAGAGATCCGGAACGCGAAGAGTCTGTCATACATCGACCCAGAAGCATTTAAGAACCTTCCAAACCTGAAATACCTGTGAGCTCTTTCAGAAATCATATGTGTATTATAAACATCAAGGGACAGTCTTATTTCAAAATCAAAACCATCTTTGCTTTGAAAACGCTATTGTGAGTCCAAACTGACAACGTTACTTTAACACAAGATACAATAGATGAGACTTGCCTTCAAATATTTGGCTTTGGCAATAATTGAGCAATTATATCCAATCTATTCAATTTAAAAGGTTCCTACTGTATATGCCAGTACTGGCACTGTCATGTTACAATTTTATACTCTGTGGTAGCTTGATTGGTGAGGGAGTCAGCTTGGTCACTGCCAGCTATCTTTCCATCTCTCTCTTGGTTTTGATTGGGATAGTCTGCTTGGTCATCGCCTGCCAGCTATCTAACCATCTCTCACTTGGTTCCTTCTAGGGGTATTTTCAATACTGGCCTCACCATCTTTCCTAATCTCACCAACATCCACTCAGATGATATGAACTTCATACTGTAAGAAAACTACAATACTAATACATAATACCTTTGTTAGTACTATACTCTTACAAGTAGGAACTGTCTCACAAGTATTACAACCCGACAACCATAATATATATATATATACCTTACTAATTTTCCCATATTACATGTGAAAAATAATGGCATTTTTACCAGTAAATCGATTGAGGTTTGAATCTCTTTTATGAGAGAGACATACACACAAACACTCCCCTACATATTTATTTGGACAGTGAAGCTAAAACCTATACAAAATAGCATTTGAGGTGACAGTACAGAATGTCACCTTTTATTAGAGTTTTTTTTCATACATATCGGTTTTACCGTTTAGAAAATGAAAGCACTTTTATGTATCTAGTCCCCCCATTTGATGGACAAATACACTTATAGTGTATAACATTTGTCAAAAGTTTGTGACTCTACAAACTTGTTGGATGCATTTGCAGTTTGTTTTGGTTGAGTTTCGGATTATTTTGTGCCCAATAGAAATTCATGTTAAATAATGTATTGTGTCATTTTGGAGTCACCTTTATTGTAAATAAGAATAGAGTATGTTTCTGAACACATATATTTAATGAATTAATTGTGAATAATGATGAGGTAATAAGTTAGAGGCATAAATATCATACCCCCCATAAAAACTTTCTCACTCATCATTATTCACGATTCATTCATGATTATCCGTAATCATGGTAGCATCCACATTAATGTAGAAGTGTTCAGAAACATATTCTATTCTTAATTACAATAAAAGTGACTCCAAAATGACACAATACATTATTTACCATTCATTTCTATTGGGCACAGCATCATCCGAAACACATGCATCCAACAAGTTTGTAGAGTCACAAGCTTGACGTAGTCATTGCGTGCTAGGAATATGGGACCAAATACTACACTTTTGACTAAATGTAATAAACTAAAAGTGGATTTGTCCAAATACTCATGACACTTTCAAATGGGGGGACTAGATACATAAAGTGCTTTCATTTCAAAACGGTAAAACAGATAAGTATAAAAATAACCTCAAATAAAAGGTGACATTCTGTACTGTCACGTCATATAAAACATTTGATCTCAAATCCAAAAAGCTGGAATTCTGGGGTATAGAGCCAAATTAAGGAATGTAGCTTTACTGTCCAAACAAATACATAGGGGAGTTTAGAAGCATCATCCTGTCCTATCTAAAGATCTGTCTTATATATAGTAAGGATTTTCCAACCCATTATGCCTTGCCTGTAGTCTAGTGCCAGTGGTTACTATAGTGCTAGAAGATGTACTTAGCTATTTTCCACTCTGTGGCGTTCCATTCCTTTTTCCTACTCTCTGACGAGGTTTTCTATATTTGCAACACCACCTAATTTCCTGTTGTATCTCCTCACAGTGAAATAGCTGATCATCCTTACATATCTGAGGTCCCAGCCAATTCATTCCGTGGTATTACCAACCAAGTGCTGACAGTGTGAGTACACAGCCATAGCTCTACAGTTTCACTGGTGCCTTCACTGTCGACTATAGGCCATTACATTACCCTTGCTTGCAGTCTCAGAGTGTGCCGAGAAACCACCGTTACATTAGATGCCAAAGCCATGGTCATATTGGTCACAATGGCAAACAGATTCAGGACACAACTAGCCCAATACATTGAAGTTGTTCGGTTTTGGTGGGGAGAAAATTACACAGTGAAATATGTTACAGAAAATGTTGTAGAGATTTTGGTCACTAAATTGCATACACAGGCAAATCCTCAGCACAAAAATATACATTTCATTCACCAGCTGGAATTGGCATTACTGATTAATAGGACCTGTACAACCAGACAGATTCAAAGTTAGTCAGTGGGTTGGTGCATAAAATAACACAGTGATGGCGTCAGTAAATATTACTGTTATGAATGTTTTCTAATATTTATATTATTTATTTTATTGTATTATCTTACAGGATGTTGTACAGTAATGGCTTCACCGACATCCAACATCATGCTTTTAACGGGACCAAACTGGATGCTGTGTAAGTTATTTTGCTTATATCATTAACACAAAAGAATAGAATGGTATAGAATAGAATAGAGAATAATAGAATATAAAATTATAGAACAGAAAATGAAATACTGTATTAGTAGCCACATGCAGCTCTCTGCTTGACCCTGCCAACCCAAAGCCATGCAAGACAAAGCGCTAAAGCAGCAGATATTCTTGTTATGTTGTATTGTTGATGACCTCTTGCTGTTTGAAACAATGACTGTATAAATAGATTGGAACAGTGCTTTGGACTGCCTTAGAGGGAGAGTCTTTTCATAGAGAAGTACTGGAGGTACGGTACTCTATGTTGTTACAGTTATGATATCTTTCACTCTGGCTTAACAATCAGTCATTTCAGACCCCTTCATTTCACCTAAATTAAATTACTTAGTATTTTGACTGGATTAAACCATTTTTGACATCTGGCATGTATATTTCCTTTCTCAAATTTACACTATTACACTACACAAGCAGTAGGATCACGGTTACATCTGAACTGGTCCTCTCAGACGTGCTTAGAGAGAGGTTAACCCCAGCCTTGATTAGGAAGCCTTAGTTCTCGTGATTTTTAAGAAGACGATTTCAGGAAGTCAGCATCAAAGCGCCAAAGGAAATGTATTTCCCCATAAGGGACAAAAAATCGTTATTCTAGGGTTGTCTTATTTTTATCTAGATTTCATCTTACTGTACTGGATGAATAGTTTCAAATTGAAATGTAAAAAAAACAATCATTGTGTCACTACACTGTCCCTACACACCCCTCCCCCAATATTGTATAAAGACATGTAAACATTACCTCCCTCCTTTTTGTCACCTCTCTCTAGCTTTCCCGTCAGGATATGAAACATTAATATAGCTCTGACCCTCTCATCCCCTGCACCCCTGCACCCCTCCATTTAACCATTCACCCCCAGTAAAACCCTAGCTGGTCCTTATGGAGTTGTAATTAGACCAATGGGCAGTCACTTTAGTCAGTCTTACCACACTGCTGTTTGGGTTGGCACGCACAGAGCGCGCTTAGAGCAAAAACTGATCCGGGAGTGTGTGTATCGGTCTGTGTGTGAGTGTGTATGTGTGCTTTCTCCGAGCAAGAGCTGATCCAAGAGCTGTAACACCAAGACAAATACTCTCGCACACACGTTTATTATGAAAATTAGATTTAGGGATTCTACAGTATGTATTTTAAAGGCGCAGTGTGTTTCTGAAGTACCTTCTCCGATGGTGGGACGGCTAATTTAAAACAACACTCAGGATAAGACCTGATCCGTCTGAAGTCAGTGTTACTCCAGAAAACGGTGAACATAAACAGTAAAACGTGGTGTGATGAGGATAGTGAAAATATTGTAGCATGTCTCAGAGCTATCAGGATGATTATGGTGATTGAAGTGTGTCGGTTACATTCTTGTTCGTGTGTTTGCGTGTGTGTGTGCATGTGTGTGTGTTTTCTCTCCAGGTACCTCCATAGGAACAAGCGTCTGACCAAGATGGATGAAAGGATGTTTGCTGGCACTGTTAGTGGGCCAATGCTTCTGTGAGTATTTGTTCATCCTTTATTTAACCAGGAAAGTCACATAGAGATTAACAACTCTTTTTTCAAGTGAGCCCTGGACAAAATAGTATCTCTCACTGCACTGCCCAACATTTTCAGTTAATATCTGATGTTAAAGTCGCTCAAACTACTTTGAACGAATGGTACAAATGTATCCAATGTTCCACGTTCCGGTCTTAAATGTCAGGTATTTGTCTTATTAAACAGAGAGATACAGCATGTTCCAATAATGTGATATTAAGTGTGTTTTGCAATGATATGTGGTTTATGATTTGGGTTTGGAACTTTTACAGAAAAAGTTTATAATAGAGTCTAAAATTATCAGATGATTAAGTATCTAAAATTTTAAATAATTACTAGAAAACAATTTTTTTTACAAAGCCAGATTGGTTCAAATCATAACTTCCGTAATTCATTCATGGCTAAGTTTCTTTCTTTTTGTACCTCTCTATTTTCCCATAAAAGTGGAGAATGAGTGAGAAACATGTCTGGGAGAAACAGTTCAGAAATCATCACAGAGTGAAAATAGCTTAACGACAGCTGGGATTTTGACTGGGAAATCAGACGCAGATTGTGTGTGAGTGTTAGAGAAACTTCTGACTTTTCCTTCCCCTCTCTGTTTTGAGAGTCATAGTGGAATTAAATATCCCCTTCCCTTTCTGGGGAGTTTGATGCAGAAACCTTACCTCTGTTATCTGTTTTCTGGAGTAGTACTCCTAAAGCTGTAACCTCTTTAATACGTTTTTAATAAGTCAATCTGTTCCCCAGCCCTCTCAGGACTAAGCCTTGTTCAACACTTCGGAAATACGGCCTTCCTTCCTACCTTCCTTGAAGTAATCACTGACCTGAATTGGTTGGATTGGTGCAAGTAATACGGTTTTGAACTTGCTTATACCCCATTCAATCACGTATCTCTATGCTTACCTCAAGGAAAAAAAGGAAGGAAGGATGTATATTTCTAAAGTATTGGAACAAGGTCCATGTCCTAGTCCTGGCAGAGTGGTGATGTCATCCACATGAGGTCATGGCCTAAACATCTCCCAATGACAAAATCAGACCGCCAGCATGTCTTCGCCACACACTATTATTATCCAGTGTTGCTCAATGTTCCCCCAGAGAGAGAGAGAGAGAGAACCAATGGGACAGAAAAATACTCAGCTGCCTCTCAGAAAGAAAGAAAGTGTGATTTAATTTTATGCATTGTTTGGCTTGTGTTTCTGTATATTATTATTATCTTATTAAATCATTTAGCAGATCATTTCACTGATACACTAGATGAGGAAACATCTTGTTAATGTTTTGTCCCCCACTTGGCCCCTCGAAGGGGGAGTGTAGGTTACAGTATGTACTGATAATACAATCACACAGGATGCTGAAGGAGAAATGGAACACGTCTCAAATGGCACCCTAGTCCCTGTATAGAGCACTACTTTTGACCAGGGCTCTGGTCAAAAGTAGGGCACTATATAGGGAATAGGGTGCAATTTGGGATGCAACCAAGGACTGGATGTGTGCTTGTACTGAGTTGTGACTTTACTTCCAAGTGAGGTTCAGTCTTTGGCATGGCAACGTGGACAATAAAAAACAGAATGTTTAATTAGATAAAGACGATGGAAGAGCGGTGGATACTCTTTTGCAGGAACCAGATGTAGCCGTTGTATTTTGCATTCCGTTTCAGAAAGGTTGCAAGTCTAACAATTGGGTAATAAATAGGCATTTGACAAAAAGGTTTATCCCAGATTTGGAGAATGCGCAAAATGGGTAGCCATGCATATCATAAAAACTAGAGGTGGGGAGGTGTTGCTGTCATAAACAGTACAAACCCAAATCATCACTAGGCTTCATCTGTTGCTAGGCTTTAATGATAGTAATGAATATGGCCCATGCCATGGCCTATGATTCCAAATACCATTACAGCACTTCTACACACACGCACACACATTCCCTTAGGTGACATAATTTGTGACCCCCAGCTGTATGAACTCTGTATGACCTTTGTATGAACACGGTTTAACCTCCAGCTGTCTCCTGTATTCACTGTTCTGAACTCTGTAAGAACCCTCTATGAGCCCTGTATGACCTCCATCTGTCACATGTATTCCCTGTGTTTCCTTTTCCAGTGACGTGTCCCTGACGGGGGTGTCATCCCTCCCCACAGCAGGCCTGGAATCTCTCAGGGAGCTGATGGCCCGCAGTGCCTGGAACCTGAAGAAGCTCCCGCCAATCAAAACCTTCAAACACCTGATTACCGCAGACCTCACCTACCCCTCCCACTGCTGCGGCTTCAAGAACCTCAAGAAGAAGAGAGGGTGAGATTATGTTTTAATGTTGTTTGTTTTTTATGTCAATCATTGTGAAGCCAAAGATACATTTCCATATTGCGTGGACAATAACGTTTTTCTGGAGAGGTAAAAAGCCTGTATCTTGTTGAGTTGTTGTTGAGCTGTTGTTTTACACGTTTATTTTGATTATATATTATATATATATTATTAATTTAAAATAACAATACAATACACTGACAATACACATGTGGTCCTCTGTAGCTCAGCTGGTAGAGCACGGCGCTTGTAACGCCAAGGTAGTGGGTTCGATCCCCGGGACCACCCATACAAATGTATGCACGCATGACTGTAAGTCGCTTTGGATAAAAGCGTCTGCTAAATGGCATATTATTATTATTATTATTATTTCCGCTCCCACAGTGGGTGCTCTGTTTAGTGGGTGCTCTGGTCAGTGGTTGCTCTGGTCAGTGGTTGCGCTCGCCCCCACCCGCCCCGAGACGGCGGTAAGGTAAGGCCCCGCCCCCGGGCCCAAAGGGATTTTCCAAGGGCGGGAAAAAGCAAGCGCATCCATAACTACCAGGATCAGCACACACACACCACTCACAGCATGAAACCAAACCACAAAACATAAACAGTGATTAGAGGACCTCAAACATTTATACTGTACATTTGTGCATATAATTATTCCAACACTCATCAATTCCACCCTTCAGACAGCCACAGATCAAGCCATCTTTCCCAATAAATCATAATTCTACCATTTCCTCTCGCAATACATCCCTCCATTCTACCATGGTGTCTCACTAGGGACTTAAACCTCCCCATCTGCAACAAGAGCATAATGATTTTTCCATTGACTGACTGACTGGTCCTTCACACATTTATTTGTTTGTCTAGACTTTTATTTTGTAAATAAATGCTTCTTGGCTCCTTAAAACAGAGTTACAACTATAAACCTGTGAACACTTTCATTGATGGTTTTGTAAATGAAAAGCAAATTACAGAGTGCATTACTAACCCTGGTAGTGTACTGTAGTGTACTGTAGTGTGTATTGCTCTGTATTGTGTAGTTACAGTATGATTAATGGCTGTTGAATAGCACAGTTGTAATTCTCCAGTGTGGATGTTGGCTGAGATTAAGTCAACTCTATGACGCGTTTACCTATAACGTTTTATTAGGTGGCTTTAATTACTGTCAGTCAACACTGTTATTGTAGGAAGACCAACGTCTAAACAAGACTAATGACCCTCTCAAAACATGAATCCGTTTTTCTTCTTTAACTGGGTATGTAAATAATATGATAGCTGAACTCAGGAGTGTATAAAGAGGTATTTGGAAGTAAAGGATTCAAGCTGAATTATTTTGTATTTATTTGTTTGCACTCAACTTGAACTTTCAGTCATTCAGTTTCATTTTTTCACCTTGCAATGTTCATTACAGACTATTCTTAGTCGTAAAAACAACCTATCAATCACATTGTCTTCATAAAGCCCTTTTTACATCAAAAGTGTCACAGGTCACAAAAAGCTTTTCAGTAACCCGGCCTAGACCTGAAAGCACAAACAGAAGCAGAAAGTGAAACTCAAAAGAAAAACTCATAGATCTACAGTACAGTTCTACAATGAGGCTCTTTTGACATTGCAGATACCTGGAGTACATAATCTGCAACCTGACAGCTTTCTACGACCAGCATCAAAAGAGATCAGTAGATCCCCTCAGAGTCCCATCCCTTCAAGTAGGCCCAGCCTCTGATGCTGCAGCAGACCAGCACCAGAAGAGATCTGTGGGTCCCCTCACAGTTCCATCCCTCCAAGGGGACCCCATGGGGGATGCAGCCGACCAGCAGCCCATCGAGGGGGGCTTCAGAGATGAGGTGTTCAGAGACACCCAGGGAGACCCCCGGAGAGACTTCCACAGCAGCCTCCACTACCATGCTTACTTTGGGGGCCAGCCGGACGATGACGTGGGCTTCGGGGAGACACTGAAGGTAAGAGAGACTGGTCAGCAACCAGAGGGTCGCCAGTTCGAATTCCAGCGCTGACTGGGGGGAAAAATAAATAATCAAGGAAAGGAAAAGGATACATTTCTGTGTCTCTGTGATAATCGATGAGATAATTATATTTTATCTGATCTTATCTTACAGAACCCCCAGGAGGACACAAGCCAGGACTTTGACAGTCGCTACGACTACGTGGTCTGTGAGGAAGGCGAGGAGGTGACCTGTGCCCCTGCGCCGGACGAGTTCAACCCGTGCGAGGACATCATGGGCTTCAGCTTCCTGCGGGTGTCTGTGTGGTTTGTCTCTCTACTGGCTGTAGTAGGCAACATGGTGGCACTTCTAGTCCTCCTCACCTCTCACTACAAGCTCTCCGTCTCCCGCTTCCTCATGTGTCACCTGGCCTTCGCTGACCTCTGCATGGGGATATATCTCCTCCTCATCGCCTCTGTGGACCTTCACACCCGGGCAGAATACTACAACCACGCCATCGACTGGCAGACGGGGCCAGGCTGCGGGTTAGCAGGGTTCTTCACCGTGTTTGCCAGCGAGTTGTCAGTGTATACGCTGACGGTGATCACGCTAGAAAGGTGGCATGCAATAACGTTTGCCATGAGGCTGGACAGGAAGTTGCGTCTGCCCCATGCTGCTGCTGTGATGCTGGCTGGATGGTTGTTCTGTCTCCTCCTAGCGGTGCTCCCCCTAGTGGGGGTTAGTAGTTACCAGAAGGTCAGTATTGATCTATTTCTTTATATTAATTGATTGATTCAGTGATTGGTTGTGTTACGAAACCAATTAGCCAGTCTATGGCAAGCCTAGGACCCCCTAGACCTGCAAGAGTAGCCATAGTAGTGGGCTGGCTAATCGGTTTCGTAACGATTGATTGATTGATTATTTATTTTATCTTTATTTAACTAGGTCAGTATCTGCCTGCCCATGGACACCCAGTCCACTGTGGCCCAGGTGTACATTGTCTCAGTCCTGATACTCAACATCCTGGCATTTCTGGTCATCTGTGCCTGTTACATCAAGATCTACTGCGCTGTCCACAACCCGCACTACCCGTCCGGCTCCAAAGACACCAACATCGCCAAACGCATGGCCGTCCTTATCTTCACGGACTTCTTGTGTATGGCACCCATCTCCTTCTACGCCATGTCGGCGGTTCTGGACCGGCCTCTCATCACTGTATCCAACTCTAAGATCCTGCTGGTGCTCTTCTACCCTCTCAACTCCTGTGCCAACCCCTTCCTGTACGCCATCTTCACCAAGGCCTTCAGGGGGGACGTCTTTATCCTGCTCAGTAAGGTGGGGCTGTGCCAGCGCCGGGCGCAGCTCTTCAGAGGGCAGACGGTCAGTTCGAAGGGTAGCAGTGGGGTATGTCACCAGGGCCGGAGAGGTAAGAAGAGAGACAAAAATGAGAAGGGAACAGGAGGACCAGAGGAGGTACCCATCCACCTGCAGGAGCGTTCTGGGTCTGGTCAAACCTACCTCCAACCCACTTTCCAGCAACCCAGTCTGGAGGAGAGCCGTAGCCTGGACACGTGAACCCAAACCTAGCCTGGGGAGATCAGAGAGTACCGTGATGGTGCCAGTGGTGGTTTGGTTGGAGAGAGGAGAGGAGAGGAGCCACAGTGAAATCAAAACTGGAAGTGGATTGAACTGTTGGGATATTTTACAGCAAGCCAGTATTTTCTCTGAACCTTTTCGCACGTTTGACTGTTTTCACAATTTCTGCTGTGATTTGTTTTTGGTTGCAATTAATATACTGACTGTCGCGGAATATTAAGTGTCAGTGAAATATGAGATATTCTGGTTGATTGCAGCAAAACCTCCGTTAGGAAATTCTAATTTTTTGCAGTTCGCTCGTTGTTAATTCTAAAGATTCAGTGGGTGTTGAAACTGTTGCTAAATGTCATCTGTACTGTATCTGAAAGCAAAGTTGATTTACACTTTTGTTTAAACTGTAGATGAACTGGAGCTGGTTCCAAAAAAATTCATAATTGTTTTATCACATTTAGCAAATAAATCTACCCTGTTTTCTTGTGAACTTTAAATCCATGATTATTCATTCATACCAGACAAAAAAGGGACATTTTTTACACTAACTGGAACTCTCAAACATCTTCACTACGAAGTGCTAAATGAAGAGACTGAGAACTGTGAGAGAGGTCTGCAATATGATATTTGAATTCTCGAACGTCAGACCTATGAAATTAAAAGATTCCTTAGAGACTCCTGGATATTGTCATGGTACTGTATTCCAGATCAGCCTGCAGGTCCAGGGTGATTAGAAACTAGACCTAACTTCATACAGGGAAATACTGCATTCCTTAATGTTCCACAGTGTATACTGTATAGAAATGAGAAGAGTAATCCATGTACAAAGACATCAAATTCAAAAGATTGTTGTGATGCTGCATCTTTTTAGTGTGCCTTTAAAAAATGTAATTAACAAACCAGCTAAATAAAGGAAGTGAGAAAACGTGTTAATCGTCACATGGCATCAATCTATAGAAGGAGCCATAATGCGAAAACCAGACATTAGTGTTTTGAGTGTTTTTACCGAACTGTTCTCTTTGAAAAGTATCTACAGCGCAAGTGATTTGGTTTTGCCCCAAATGTATAATACATTCCAGAGATACATTAAACATTTGTCTTATTTTTCTTCTTCTCGCTGTCCTATTTCCTGTTTTTTCCTAATGTTAGAAATCATTGCTACTGAACTGATTCAAATAAACACAAAGAATTTCCAGAAATACATCCCAAAACCCAAAACCAATATATATTTCCATTCTCAAGAGGATATAAGTGACTTTTCAGACAATCAGAGAAGATACAACCAGACTTGGTTTCAAATACTATTTTAAATATTTCAATTACTTTCACATACATTCCGATGTATGTATTCAAATATATTTTATTTGAAAAGACAAGCAGTTGAATATTTTAATATATTTGGAAATACACTTGGAAAGTATTTGAAAATACTCAACTACACTTATTCAAATACACATTCCTTGCATTTAACTCTGGTATTTTAAAATAGTCTCAAATACAATTTGGTAGACTATGGTTTTTACATGTTTTGGGCTGTGTATTTGGAAATACATGCATTTGAACACAGGTCTGTGCCTTGCTAGAAAAAGCTAGTAAAAACACAAACATACAGAAAAACACAGAATATTTTACATATAAAAAAGCAAGATAGCTGTTGCTATAGTGAGATATTGGAGCTATTATGAGTTAAAGGGACACCTTCTACCAATGACCGCCCGCTTGACATCTGGATAGCATTTGAACTGCACTGACATTTTCAGAGAAATGCAGACAGCTAGGGAATTAACTTTCCTGGAAAAAGGGATTATTTCTTATTCTTTTTTATTTTCTCACTTGCAACAGGCCAAAGTGACATGCAACTCTTCTGTTCAGCTAAATAAAGGCCAAAGTGATATGCAACTCTTCCGTTCAGCTAAATAAAGGTAATTGGCCTTTTGTTAGATTTTGTCAGATTTCCAACAGATAAAAAAATGTTTTTTTTCCATTGGTAGAATATTTTTTTTTTACTGGTTCATACAATACATTGTCTTAGTCTTCCATATCAAAAGGATTAAATACAAGAAACACTGCAGAAGAATAAAACAAACTGAGGAGCATATAACAGGCTGTGTTATATTGTAGTAGTAAAAACTCTCAATAAAATACTTGAAAACAGCCATCAAATTTATTTGTAGTATTACATTGTTATTGATTACTGCATTGCTGAGTTTAGAGCTTGAAAGAAAGGCATTTCACTGTACTCGATAGAGGGGTGAGAGATCTCATTGAGTTCACCAGAGTACATAACACAATTATGGCATAAATTATAATAGAATAGTCATCAAACAGAAGGAAGAAAAAGACAGTCATGGTCTACGGACAGGGTCAAACAAACTGACTCGTGGTGTTAAATTGAACCAAATTCATTCCATTCTCTCTCTAGCCCTGGTTCCCAGCCCTATCATGGCCTGGCCCATTCCTCTCCTGGTATTTCAAATAAACCTCTCATCTCCCAGCCGCTCCCCAAATAACCAGGAGGGCAGGGCCCGTTGGATGAATGACATGCAACCACGCTGCCATATTGAGTTTCTCAACACAAATAGTGGGAAGAAACTGAACTCATCAAAAGCGAGAGAGAGAAAGAGAGAGATGGGAAGAAACAGAGAGAAAGCGAGAGAGAAGGCACAGATTCTAATTTTGAAAAAGATTGGGACTGGTCTGGGTCTGTGAGATCCTGCTGTTTTTATATTAATGCTGTGACTCAGCTTGTTGACTTGTCCCTTCTCACGTCTCTGCAGGTCAGTAGGTGTAGTCAGTGTGCTGCTCTTGAAAGGTCAAGGGTCACCCTCTCATAGAACTACTAGAGCGTTCCACCACGCTCTGCTCTCTTACGCAGAGAGAAAATTAGAGAATGATGAAGTGGAGAGGAAAGAAAACATTCCTTCCTCCCTTTCAGATTGTTCAAGTGTCTCCAGACCGCCTTGCCTGCCATTATTTCATGCTAGTGAACCACACAGCCGACATGAGACATGTCACAAGGTCCCACATCACACGTTCCAACACTTTTAATAACAGCCAGAGTCGATCACTATAATAAATGGACTGCAGCCTGTAGACCTGGGTCAAATACCATACTCACTCTCTAGTGAGCTTACTCCCAGTAAATTCTCCCCGTCGGACTTGGGAGTTTGGAATCAGCAACCCTCCGGTTACTGACCCACATCTCTAATCTTCCTGCACCTCATCGTAGGGCCCACAGCAGGAGGATACACCGGACGTCTCTGGATCCCTAAAAACGACTAGGCAGCAGAACTAGCGACGTCAGCAGCTCGCTCTACTCCAGTGCTCACTCATGAGTAGCCTAGGCCAAGACTCATTTTGGAGTATGTAGGGTCCATTATCCTTCCTCCATTCCGCCTGAGGGATTAACATCAATTCTGTGTGGCATTTAGGACGGGACACCACTCAACTCTCCGTTTACAATCAGAGGCAGAACCAACATTACATTTTAGTCATTTAGCAGACACCCTTTTCCAGAGTGACCTAGAACCAGAGCATTCAACTAAAGTAGGTAAAACCACCACAATCCATTTAAACTAGGCTGAGTAACTGGGCTCTAGTCCCATTACTAGCATTCCTTTTAACTCATAAACATACACCAGCCGGGCTGGAGTTAAGGCACGAGAAACACCCACACAACACGGCCCACTGTCATACAATATTTGAATTATCCCGCCCAAATGTGGAAAGTGGGGATTAAACTAAAGATTTTCATCTCCGTGGAAAAGGATTGTAGATTTGTAGCTGATAGAAAGTTCAGATGTAAAACATTTATTTTTTATGTTTCTGTGTGAAGGCTACGTTACCCTAATTATTGTATTTTCTGAGGTAAGAAATTCTTAAATTCTGCCGCTCAATTGTCAATGAACAATTATACTATTCCAGTAAAATATGCCATACACAAACCAGCTTTCATGTTACTTTAATACAATGTTTAGAAAAGGCAAAAACTCAAACGGGTCTGTTCAGTAAAATACTACCTTCTCTAATTACTTGTATTCAAAGCACATCCTCCAAGTTATGGTCATTTACAAGGATCTTAGATTTTAAATAAAATAAAATAAAGTGTTATATGAATGATAATACAAACGATACATTTCTCAAACCGTTTTTTAAACAGCAGTTGAAAAGCATGGTACATCAGAATAAAATAAGTCAAAGAACATTATCTAGAGACATCCTCTCTTCAAATGCTTATTTTATCATTATATGTGAATAACTAGAAGCCAAACTAAAATCCAAAAAGGCACATACGAAATTACATCAGGGAATTGGAACACGTGGAATTATGAACAATGCTAAAATTATTTTGGATTAAAATGGTCAAAACCACTTGAGCAGATGAGTGGCTCATATCATATGCTACTGCTTGTCCAAGCGCAGAGTTCCAGAACTAGAAGCTACTCGGTTCTAGACTCAGAACCTACTCTGAAATGTTCCAGTATACATTCCTCAGAATTACTTTACTTTAGTCATGAGTTGGGCCATTGTGTCTGAGAATGACTGCATATATACACACAACCAAAACAGAATCAAAGCTCCTAAGAAAAGCTGAAAACACTTTATTTCAGAGAAAAATTATGCAAATAGGGCACTGTTAAAATAAACTGCAGAGAACACACACCTTGCCCCAGAAGTTGAAACCTGCTTGAACAGGACTTTTATAAAATCATCATGATTAAAATGAAAGCACAAGACAGACGGACAGCGCTGTACACAGCAGCCAAGACATGGCCCACAGCACATGGAGCCTAGTCCAACCAACACAAAGAAAAAAGGGAACACTTAGTTATCATAAGAGCAGTTTGGTGCGGCTTCTTGCTTTCTTTTTACCCCCCAAAAAGATAACATTGCCTGAGCTTTCAGGAATAAATAAAACAAAAAAATAGACAAAAGAAATGAATCATAAAAACGTTATCTATTTGGGGACGTGGGGTGTCCATTCTTCCAACAACATTGAACTAACTGATGACTCCATCTTCATCAAGCAGTGAACTTGGACAGACAGCACACTCACAACACAAAGACACACAAGAAAAATATTGGGCATGCTGTGGCCAAACTTGACTGACTTCACGATACAATGATACTGACAGCGCAAATCTCCAGCTGGCTGTACTGATTAAGTACTGAATTAGAAGACCAGATACACAAAATAGGAAAACTCTCGTAAGGGTTTGAAGACATTTTGTACAATAAGTGTATCTATCCATTCATTGGTTGATTCATTAACTGTCTTTGCAAAGGGTCAGTCAACGATAGGATGATTCAGGAAGAGGGCTTGAAAGAAGCAGACAAACAAATTCAAAACACGAGTTTCGTCCCTAATGGCACCCCATTCCCTTTGTAGTGTACTACTTTTGACCAGGGCTCACAAAAGTAGTGCACTATACAGGGAATAGGAGGTGCCCTGGGTTTCCTTCACTCAATTTACATCACTAGGTCGTTATTGTCATTTTGACTTTAGTGGTGTTGGTCTTCATCATAAACCATTAAAAAAAATACATCTTTAAAAAGTTACAACGATAACAGGAGGGGAGCGCTACACTGCCGAACACACAGTGCGTATTAGTATCAACTAGATACCCGGAAGGAAACTTCTTGTATGGACCATGAGAACATGTGGCAGGAATATCATATCAGCGACATGGAATGGAGAATTACAACAAGAAGCTAATAACATCAGCCTTTGCAAAAAGCCATCTTAACTCAATACACCGGTGTCAACTTTACTGTGTAGTGCCGGGTCACTAAAAAATAAAAAATAAACACTGGGATTGACTGACAGGTTTCCTAGCTAATTGCTGGGCACAACTGGGATTGACAGATTTCCCTGTTCAATCGCTGGGCATTTTTACTGAACTTTGACCTTGATTCAAACCTATAGGTATAAAGTGTTTAGGGTGGGTCAACTCAAGTCGGTGGTTATATCTGGTCCACTATAACTACAAGTGTGTAAGAGGACAGTCAGTTCAAAATGAAGGTGAATTCATTCAAACAAAGATGCTCAAAGGATCCCTCCTCTGTCCCTGCATCATAGAACCCTCAGTCTTCTCAGGCTTGTTGGGTATTGATACTGAAATACCATTCATTCAGATGTGCATCTCACAGTTTTGGGTGGCGTGTCACGTTTTTTTCCTTCCCCCACCAACCCACCACAGGCCTTCTGGCTGAAATGTCTCCAGTGATTCCCTGGTCTTAAGTTATTGATGTCTCCCTCTCTTTCTCGAACAGAAAGTTCCAGAGTTCCTTTGTGGTGTTTTGTTTCTTTGTCTACATTCCAAATGGCACCCTATTCCCCTATGTAGTGCACTAATTTTGACCAGAGGATTATATAGTGCACTATATGGGTAATAGGGTGCCATTTGGGACGCACCCTTTTTTGTTGTGTGTTTTACCACTCAGCGTCCCCGATGGCTTTGGAGAAGACGTAGTCTCGGCCATTCAGGTTCATAATCCCATCCTTCAGGTGGAATTTCCATTTGTTCTTACTTCTGTGGATCTGAGGAGAGGAGGGAACAGTGTGAGAGTTAGGTAGGAACAGACTGGGATGCCTCTCTTTCACACAATACCGTGCGTGTGTGTTTATCGGAGGGAAACCAATGGACAGTGTCAGTGTTGGCGTTAGGAGGGGAGCAGACGGGGATACCAGTCTCACACACACGGGAAGTCTGGGGTTTCCTCACACACAGGATGCCTCGTATTGTAGTCACACACGATAATGTCATCTGGGGATGCCTTACCTTGTCGTACTGGCACACGACCACGTTCTCGGTGTCAAACAGTTCTTGGTCCTCCTCATCACTCACGTCATCTTCACTGTTCAGAGGCTCCTGAGAGAGAGAGGGAGGTTAATAACCCACATATATTCATCCTATCACTCAATGTCTACAGTCAATTCTAGATTGTCTCTACAGCCAAATTTATAGAGTACAACAGTGTGCTGGTAAAGTGCTTTGGAGCTTGTTAGAGATATAGTTTTGTTCAACTAGTCAGTAGGTCATAAACATTCTAAGGTTAAAAGTTTAGAACCATTGTGTGTCTCTCTCTCGGTCTCATTGAGAGTACTACCCACCTCCTCCACCTGTCCGTCCTCCCCTCCAGCTTTATCCTTCTCTTCATCTTCATCCTCATCATACTCCTCCTCCTCCTCATCCTCGTCCTCTGAGGACGTGTCTCCCGCTCCGTCAACCTGCAGCATCATAGGAGGCTGCTGCTTGGCTTGCTGCTGCTGTGGGGCCCCTGGAGCAGCTCCACCCTGGGCCTGTTGTACTTGTTGGACCTGCTGCTGTATTTGCTGCACCTGGCCAGGCTGGCCTGCCATCTGCATTACCTGAAGAGAGGGATGGGTTGAGAAGGACTGGTTGGTGAGAGCTGGTTGAATGTGGGATGGGGTGTTCAGCAGAGGAAGCACCATTTGTATAATACAATTTAAAATTCCCTCTTGAATATGCATATCTATAGCTTCTCAAAAGCGGAGTATAAAAATACATTGAATGTAGTTATACTAATGAATATTTTATCAAAATAAGTGTACTATCCTTTGTTTCTATGGTGCGCCAGTAGTGACTAGCGAGTGCATAATGTCTGACCTGTGCATTCTGCTGGACCTTGTTCCCAGTGAGGACGATCTGTTGAGGCTGGATGATGACTCCCGTCTGCTGGGGGAGGCCTCCCTGGAGAGGAGCCAGCACCTGGGGGGTAGCAACATGATATTACACCCCACTGAACCACCAGGAACTAGTAACGGACACTTCACCTTCCAAAACCACTCAGCTTGCACAACATAACAGCCATCTTAAGTCACTTCTGTGGATCTGAGGACCTCACAGAAGGCCCATAGGTTAACGGCCATTTCATGCTCCACTACTTATGCTCACACATGCCATCTACCACAGCTCTGACACAGGACCAGGTATTCTGGCCCTGGTTAGTGAGCAAGTGGCCGCAAAATACTCTTAACTGAACTGTGGACAACCTGCACGAGGGGGACCACCTCCACGAGGGGGACCACCTGCACGAGGGGGACCACCTCCATTCGGCTATTTCAGCCACACCCGTTGCTGACAGGTGTATAAAAATTGAGCACACAGCCATGCAATCTCAACAGACAAACATTGGCAGTAGAATGGCCTTACTGAAGAGCTCAGTGACTTTTAACGTGGCATCGTCATAGGATGCCACCTTTCCAACGTGTCAGCTCATCAAATTTCTGCTCTGCTAGAGCTGCCCCGGTCAACTGTAAGTGCTGTTATTGTTAAGTGGAAACGTCTAGGAGCAACAACCTCTCAGCCGCAAAGTGGTAGGCCACACAAGCTCACGGAACGGGACCGCCCACGTAGCGCACAAATCGTCTGTCCTCGGTTGCAACACTCAATACCGAGTTCCATACTGCCTCTGGAAGCAAAATGGGTTTCCATGGCCAAGCAGCCGCACACAAGCCTTTGATCACCATGCGCAACGCCAAGCGTCGGCTGGAGTGGTGTTAAGCTCGCCGCCATTGGACTCTGGAGCAGTGGAAACGCGCTCTCTGGAGTGATGAATCACACTTCACCATCTGGCAGTCCGACAGACTAATCTGGGTTTGGCGGATGCCAGAAGAACGCTACCTGCCCGAATGCATAGTGCCAACTGTAAAGTTTGGTGGAGGAGGAATAATGGTCTGGGGCTGTTTTTCATGGTTCGGGCTAGGCCCCTTAGTTCCAGTGAAGGGAAATCTTAACACTACAGCATACAATGACATTCTAGACGATTCTGTTCTTCCAACTTTGTGGCAACAGTTTGGGGTAGGCCCTTTCCTGTTTCAGCATGACAATGCCCCATGTACAAAGCGAGGTCCATACAGAAATGGTTTGTCGAGATCGGTGTGGAAGAACTTGACGGCCTGCACAGAGCCCTGACCTCAACCCCATCGAACACCTTTAGGATGAATTGTAACGCCGACTGCGAGCCAGGCCTAATCGCCCAACATCAGTGCCCGACCTCACTAATGCTCGTGGCTGAATGGAAGCAAGTCCCCGCAGTAATGTTCCAACATCTAGTGGAAAACCTTCCCAGAAGAGTGGAGGCTGTTACAGCAGCAAAGGGATGACCAACCCATGGTTTTGGAATTAGATGTTCGACGAGCAGGTGTCTACATACTTTTGGTCATGTAGTGTATGTGGGAGGACAGTGAGCGGACCTACCTGTGTAATGGGGCGTACCTGCTGTATTACAGGAGCCTGCACGCCGCCTGGCTGCATCTGAGGAAGGACCTGCTGTTGTAGCACCATCTGCTGCTGGGGCTGGATGATGTACTGAGCACCGTTGGCCGCACGCACAAACTGTAGGATCTGACCTGGGGTCAGAGAGGAGATCGGAGGATATTAGACCTATGAAGAGTATGTTCAGGATCTGACTGGAGAACAGAGGAGAGGAGAGAGCAATGGAGACCGAAGCCCTCAAGACCCAGACCCAACCTCGTGAGACTCAACCCAAGATCCAGATTATCGAAACCATGACCAGACCAAGAACAGTTTGAATGTTGAGAAACAAGTATATTAACAAGTCAGAAAGAAAGGCTTCTTATTCCTAGGTTGTACACACCATCCGCTGTCTTAAGAAAACAATTCTGGGGCAAATTGCCTGATGTGCGTCACCCGGAAAGGACATAAGAAATTCAGGGCAGAACAAAAAAACAGATTGGTATTTGGTGAAGTAATCTTTCTGCAGCAATACGGCTGTGTATATACTTTTAGTTTTCAAATAATCAAATCAATGAATCAGTTATAATACATGATTAACACTAGAGCTGGTGTGATGTAAAATGTTCTACCTTGGCTGGTGATAAGCTGATGGTAGGGACTGACTCCTGTGGGTAAGGCCAGGGTTGCTGCGGTGGCTGCTGCACTCTACAGGACAAACAGAGAAAACACATATTACTAACCAGGCAAGGACAAGGACAGATAGCTACTCCTAATCATTCGGGGGGGGGGGGGGGGGGGGGGGGGGGGGGGGAGAGAGTGCGAGAGTGTGTGCTTGTTCAAGATAAGACTGCACAGATTAACATGTCTGGAGAATCATTTAAAATGTAACCTCAATTTGCTATAATAATCCTACATTCTGTGCAGACCTGTGAAATATGTGCATCTCACAAAGATTACAGCATCTAAATCTATGACAGATGTGAGTTCAGAAGACAAAACCAGTTGGTCGGGGAAGATTAGACAGGAAAAACAGGCCGTCCGAAAACAGGTCAGAAACTAGGGAGACACCTTTCTATCTAGTCTTTAAAAAACAGAGCGAGAATGTCCCTGACTCTAAAACTGATCTAACTTCAGCTCAGAAAATACCGGGGGGGGGGCCTAGAACAGACGAGTGTGAGGCTCTTCCAGGTTTATCTGCTCAGTAATCCAGTCTGAAATCCGTAGCTCTCACTAAACGATTTCCTGCGTGGCCTCACGTCTCCTCGTCTCCTCCCCCTCATCCCTCTGTTCCATCTGTCCTGGTCAGTCACGCTCAGCGCCAGATCTTACGTCTCTGATCCTAAATGTGTAGTATATCTACAGACAACCACCTTACTCCACTCACCATCCCCGTTGCACTCATGTGCTGCAGAATCTTAGGATCCTGCACAATGACTTGCTGCTGGGGTGCTGTGGAGAGAGAGGGGGAGATACATGTATCCATTAAAGTATTGATTACATACACTCAGTAATTATACTTCTAATAAATGTGAAACGACATCTTGTCAATGCAGCTTTGGAACAAACTGTGTATGTAATCAATAAATCCTGTATAATAATAATAAATAATAATAATCAAGTGATTATATTACCGCTTGTGACAGTAGGCCGGGTCGATTGCCAGCTCGTCACTGTGAATGAGAATGGATTCTCTTTTCAATGCCTTTGTGGTTTTCACATACTTTGCAGATAGATAGTCATTTCAAGTAGTTCTTTGAAATTGACTTTGAATTAGGCAACTTAGACGAGGACCTGTTGTGTCTGGACTTATAGCAATTTATATCATACATTGTGAGTGTGAAAATACCAGACATGGTGGTTAGATGTTAGGGATGTTGGTAGAGCACGGCGTTTGCAACGCCAGGGTTGTGGGTTCGATTCCCACGGGGGGCCAGTATGAAAAAATATAATGTATGCACTCACTAACTGTAAGTCGCTCTGGATAAGAGCATCTGCTAAATGACTAAAATGTAAATGTAAAAATGTTAGGGGTGGCAGGCAGGGGCTGGTCTGAGGTGGGTGGTTGGCTTTAAAGGGGCGTGTCAGGGAACCATCTACATGGGTTTTACATAGCGCTTTTCAATGCCCCAAATATGCTCATACACTGGAAGTGGACCAAGAAGTGAGAAAGAGGGTGATTAGAGGTGTTAGAGGCTGGGGCTGGGCATGGCTGTAAAACGGGGCAAGGGTTTAAAGCAACTCTTATAGGCTGGGTTAATTTCCTGAACACAGATTAAACTAAAAAAGCAGAATCAATTGAGAATATCCACTGAACATGCTTTTTACTCTAGGACTAGGCTTAATCTGTGTCTGGGTAACCAGCCCATAACGTACCAAGGACAACAGAGTTGGTGTGTCAGGGCCGGGGCCTGGGACTCACCTTGCTGCTGCGGGGGCAGGAGGACCTGCTGTGCCTGGGCTTGCTGGGTGGCCTGCTGCTGGGCCTGCTGCTGGGCTGCTGCTGCCTGGAGGGCCGCCTGCTCCTCGGTATGGAAGCCCTCCACTGCCTTACTCTGCATCAACTTGTTCTCCCACAGCTAGGGAAGATGAGAGGAAAACTTTAAAATGGAGGGGGGGGTAGGTAAGAAGTTGACCATCTGTTTATAGACTTTAATAGAACTTCATGTTTTCCAGAGGGATCTTCAGACTTGCTTGTCCTCTGACCACTAAAGGAATGTGGAATTAGATGGTCCATTCATTTGGGATTGAGGCCTATAGTAAGATCTACTACAGATCTGCAAAAAGGGAGGGAGACCATGGCAGACTGTAGATGAGGAAGAACATTATAGAATGGAATGCGACTAAAAGGAAGAAGTGATGAGTTCCGTACCGTTTTGAGCTCCATGAGAACCTGCTCATCCACCCCCTCATCCAAGAAGAGCTCCCGGACCTCGTTGATAACATCTTCAATCACAGACCTGTACAGTTTAGGCTGAGAGAACATACAGAGTACTGTTAGAAGTGCTCTAATATATAGTATAGTTATTCCACATTGTGATAACTGAAATGTACTCAAATGCAGCTTGGTAAAGGATGTTGGCCAACAAATAATGCAAAATTTCATGTTTTGAAAAATTTCATATTTTGGGGTGTGACTGCCTTTGAAGTTCAGTGCCAGGCATTCATAAACTACATACCATAAGAATTTTAAAATGAACAGACTCTAGAAACCCCAAAATTGCAACAAAATAAATGTGCAATTCTTACAACTAAAGTATGTAAAATCAGTTCCAAATGATTAAATTATGTTTTTTAAAGTAAAAGTGTGCAGACTTTCATTGCATTCCCAAACATTTTAACAATTCCTGGAGAAGTTGGGACAATTCAGAATCAAGTTATCAAGTAATTAATATATGATTGTAGCCTACATTATTGAAAACGGTGATATTTCATGATAGCCATGGTCAGCAATAATGTTACACTAGAGATTACCGATGATAGACTAGACCAGGGTTTCCAAACTCGGTCATGGGCCCCCGGGTGCACGTTGTTTTTTGCCCTACCACTACACAGCTGATTAAAACAACCAACTCATTATCAAGCTTTGATTATTTGAAACAGCGGTGTATTGCTAGGGCTAAAAAACCTGCGGGGGGGGGGGGCGAGTTTGCGAAACCCTGGACTAGACAGCAAATGGTCAGTGCATATGGGAGCTTTCACACGGTAAACAAGTTAACACAGGAATCGTTGCTCAATCAATCGGACTTTAGGATTTTCTCTAACTGTAAACAACCGAAATAAATCGATCAGCTTGCGCTAACTAAACTCAATCGGCCATGCACAAGATAGATTGCAACACAAGATAGATTGCAACGTTGAATCATCGACCATATACCCTCAAACTAAAATGGTCGCATGAACAGCGACAGCGGCCACTTTCCCCGGTGTCCCCATCTAACTCCCCGCCTCTTGGCCTGTCTGCTCACTATTTAAAGATCAGTCTGGTGTTTATACGTAGAGACTGTGACGTAGCGTTGAGTAGCGCCTTCCCATCCCGGGCAGTCTATATTAGAGAGCCAATATGGCTGTATAAAACCGAGCTGCAGAAAGGAGGAGGGTCACAACCGTCGAGAGAGGAGACATGGAAGCCATTTTACGGAGCGGGAGTCAGGCGCACATTGGCTCAAGCTCGCAGTCACTAATATTCGAATGTTGGATGTAAATATAATTGTTGCTAGAAGATAGTGACTTTAGCTGGTTACAATTTGATTTTAGAGATAGGGACAAATGGTGGAGAATAGAGGACGAGGTGTTTTGGGGCGGCTAGCGAGCAGCCTTGTTCGTGTAATGGTGGACAGAGGCACTGTACGCCCTTGTTTGAAATTATCAAGCAATACATTCCACCTGATAATCAGTTTTAATTCTGACAATAGGAATTAAACAAATGCGCATTGGATGAGAAGGTGCTTCCAACTGTACATCGAGGCAAACTGCTAGTTTTCATTAGGTTCGAGGAACAACTCCTAAACTCGAAGCTCATGTAGCTACTAAAGTTACTAGTTAGTACGAGACCTAACGTTATTGCTAGCTAACTACGTTACATAATTTTTTTAACTAGATCTCCAGGAAACAATAAATTCACCAATATAGTTAATGCATGTTGACTAGTTACTGTAGTTAGGTGGCAGCATAGCTTGCAAATTAGCATACAAGCCAATCAACAAGGCTCAAATCACATTTCTAGGTTGATATTTATCTAGCTTAAACTATAAAAAAAACTGCCACCTAGCTAAAGCTTAAAACTGCATCTGAGAACATTTGCCAAAGATAAGTTACCAACGTCATTCCCCAGCTGCATTCTGAAAATGATTTAGCTATGGGTTCGAAGAGGTTAAAATGGCCGATTGTTGTACTTACGCCTATCATTTTTATTGATGAGAATCTAAAATGTTTGCAAACAATACTCCCTAGGTTCCCTTATGTTTTTGCACTCAGAATAACTTTTTTGGCAGCTAGCAGTTAGTTTGCCATCATCATAACTAGTTCTGTCTCACTGACTACCCTCTTGAGAATGATCCTTACCACTGGATTCGAGTTTGCCGAGCTCGCCATTACGCGTAGTGTAAAACCACACGGAAATCAAGCGAGGAATAAGAGCAAAAAAAGGAAAAACGATCTAAAACAACTGGGTACGATACTTAAAATTAGCCGGCATAACTTTTGTAAATAAAACACAGATTTTAACGGTCTTATTTACAAATCCGGTCTCTGCCTTCCCAGCCGTTCTTCGCCCGCCGTTGTCCTCCTTTATATACTGAGCTGGAGCTGCGAGTGCGCGAGACATAGGGCAGGTCAACCCGGTCATTACCGCGAGATTCCGCGGGAATATCGTACAGTAGAAAAACATTCAGCTTTGACAGTACTATGAAATTAATTTTTACGTAGTGTATTGGGAATTGAATGAATATATTCACAAAAGCAAATAGCTTTGCTTATATAATTTCTGATTTGCTTTGATGCTGACTACTGTTTTTTGTTTGTTTGGTATTACTACATTTTGTTTGGTATATAAACAGAAACATCACAATGCATTCATGCATTATGTTTTTTTGACCAGAAATTGCAAAACAAGGCAAACTGTCTAATGCCATATTTCCCAGGCAGGCACAGGAATTGATGAGCTAAGCGAAAATAGTCTCTAATGCAGATTGGATGGTGCCGCCAGTGGAAACTAACATGTTTATAGATTGGATAATCTTCCTTTTCTAAATATTTTCATTGTCATATTTGTGTAATCTACTTTGGTCCGTGATCCGATGCTCCTGTGCATGAACTCATTTTCTATGTCCTCCGTGTGGGCGTGGAGAGAAGGGGCTGCCACCGGATACGTGTTCTAGCGGTTTTCAAAGGAAACGTTGTGTGACTATCTATACCATCGATCCACCTAGCTAGCGTTCGCCAGGTTAGTTATAACATAGACGAAGAGGAAAAGATACACCAACTAGGCGGAAAATATGTCTCCCTCCAGCAGGTGGCGTTTTTTTTCGTTGTTTCGCCCCCCAGGCAAGGAGTTTTTGAATGGAGGTCAATGACAGTGTCGAATTTGGTCAACAAACAAAATGATGGATTATTTGCTACATGAGGTTTCTTTGATCGAATAGAAGTTTCGTAATGCTTATAAAGTTGTTACAAGTGTACTGATATAAGTAGGACACGTGACATCCCAGCAACTTTGAGAAAAAATACTTTATATCGAGTTGTCTCGAGATGGCTATGCATATTCATGGTTAAGGCTAGTAGCATAGTGTCTCTCTTCATTGAATACTGGCGGTTGACGTCAACAACCCTCATCGATAATTTAAAAAACGATTACAACAATGAGATGTATCCACCAATCCAAATAAAGGATAGACGGGAGCTCGACAGCCCGCGGTGCCGCTTTGTGGACAACTACTCCCATTGTTAGGGCAAAGAGACATGTATCTTGTCAGTATATCCATCATCTTTGGTTATAATAAGGGCGTGAACGTTATTTAAAATAAGGGTTACATGGAGAAAATCGGACCTCTCTGAAATAAAATGGGATGGCCCTCCCTTCAGCAAAATATATTTTAAAGTGGATAGCAGAGAACATCCTTAACGTTTACCCAAACTTCTTGGACAGACCAGAGCCTTAGATATGCCGTTTTAGAAACTGTTCTTCGTCTTGTAAACATTATAGCAACGCAATAATTTTGATTGTGCACAGGGCTGCGGGCCAGAAGGTTGTCGGTTCACAGACCACCGTGGAGAAGAGTATGGGTGGAAATATCTCCTTTATTGTAAAAGCATTGCATGAATCTATAATCGTATTTGCAGGTCTGAGAAAAAATTGCAATTCTGCTTAATGTTACAATGCAGAATCTTTTTTTAATACCACACAAATGACCGAAATGACAGGCTAAGAATGGACCGAGATAGGACTACAGTACCTTCAGAAAATATTCACACATCTTGACTTTTTTTTGTGTTACAAAGTGGGATTATAATGTACTTAATTGTCTTTTTTAAATTATTATTATAACGGCAATTCTAAACCACCATTAATTCATACGAACGCGCACGGACACAGAAATCAGAACCATGGACAGCCACATCATATTTAGCTTACGTTGATTGGACTAAATTGTTTTTGGTATATTTTAGTTGTCACTGTATTAGATTAAGCAGAGGTGATTTGATGATGCTGAAATGTTGAAGTTTAAATGGTGCTGGAATAGTGGAGGCAGCTTCTGTTTTCTTTGCGACTTGCGGTAAATCTGTGGTTCTAAATCAATAGTTGTTTAGTGTCCGAAAAATGTCGGAAACATTAACTTGCTTGACCATGCTGTAGGTCATGTAACTGTCTGTTACTGTACATTCAATATGCTTTGTGGACTTCACTGGACAGATGTTGCTATCCGGTTTTGTGATAAAACAAAGGTGTGGTTGAATTTATTCTGCCACTATGTCTTCTTATTGTCTCTGCCTTTAGGCCTATATGTCACGGTGTCAAGGCATATGAACTAACAGGTTATAGAGCAAACAGCAATTATCACAACACATAGGTTGTAATATGGCATTTTTTTTTGTGGGTGGGGGGTGTTTGGGGTCTTTGCTTCCCCAGTGATTTTACCCACACACCGCTACTGCCTATCACTGCCATTAAACTGTAGCTGTTTTAAGTCACCATTGGCCTCATGGTGAAATCCCTGAGTGGTTTCCTTCCTCTCCGGCAACTGAGTAAGGAAGGACGCCTGTATCTTTGTAGTGACTGGGTGCTTTTTTACATGTTTACCCATCTACCAATAGGTTCCTTTTTTTGCGAGGCATTGGAAAACCTCCCTGGTCTTTGTGGTTGAATGTGTTTGAAATTCACTTCTCGACTGAGGGACCTTACTGATAATTGTATGTGTGGGTTACATAAATTAGGTAGTCATTAGAAAATCATGTTAACCTCTACGGGATCCAGGACATAGACATGTCTTACAGTGAGGGAAAAAAGTATTTGATCCCCTGCTGATTTTGTACGTTTGCCCACTGACAAAGAAATGATCAGTCTATAATTTGAATGGTAGGTTTATTTGAACAGTGAGAGACAGAATAACAACAACAAAATCCAGAAAAGCGCATGTACAAAAAATTATAAATTGATTTGCATTTTAATGAGGGAAATAAGTATTTGACCCCTCTGCAAAACATGACTAAGTACTTGGTGGCAAAACCCTTGTTGGCAATCACAGAGGTCAGACGTTTCTTGTAGTTGCCCACCAGGTTTGCACACATCTCAGGGGGGATTTAGTCCCACTCCTCTTTGCAGAACTTCTCCAAGTCATTTTGAGGCTGACGTTTGGCAAATCGAACCTTCAGCTCCCTCCACAGATTTTCTATGGGATTAAGGTCTAGAGACTGGCTAGGCCACTCCAGGACCTTAATGTGCTTCTTCTTGAGCCACTCCTTTGTTGCTTTGGCTGTGTGTTTTGGGTCATTGTCATGCTGGAATACCCATCTACGACTCATTTTCAATGCCCTGGCTGAGGGAAGGAGGTTCTCACCCAAGATTTGACAATACATGGCCCTGTCCATCGTCCCTTTGATGCAGTGAAGTTGTCCTGTCCCCTTAGCAGAAAAACACCCCCAAAGCATAATGTTTCCACCACCATGTTTGATGGTGGGGATGGTGTTCTTGGGGTCATAGGCAGCATTCCTCCTCCACCAAACATGGCGAGTTGAGTTGATGCCAAAGAGCTCCATTTTGGTCTCATCTGACCACAACACTTTCACCCAGTTCTCCTCTGAATCATTCAGATGTTCATTGGCAAACTTCAGACGGGCATGTATATGTGCTTTCTTGAGCAGGGGGACCTTGCAGGCGCTGCAGGATTTCAGTCCTTCACGGCGTAATGTGTTACCAATTGTTTTCTTGGTGACTATGGTCCCAGCTGCCTTGAGATCATTGACAAGCTCCTCCCCTGTAGTTCTGGGCTGATTCCTCACCATTCTCATGATCATTGCAACTCCACGAGGTGAGATCTTGCATGGAGCCACAGGCCGAGGGGGATTGACAGTTCTTTTGTGTTTCTTCCATTTGCGAATAATCGCACCAACTGTTGTCACCTTCTCACCAAGCTGCTTGGCGATGGTCTTGTAGCCCATTCCAGCCTTGTGTAGGTCTACAATCTTGTCCCTGACATCCTTGGAGAGCTCTTTGGTCTTGGCCATGGTGGAGAGTTTGGAATCTAATTGATTGATTGCTTCTGTGGACAGGTGCCTTTAAGAGTGTGCTCCTAATCTCAGCTCGTTACCTGTATAAAAGACACCTGGGAGACAGAAATCTTTCTGATTGAGAGGGGGTCATACTTATTTCCCTCATTAAAATGCAAATCAATTTATAACATTTTTGATGTGCGTTTTTCTGGATTTTTGTTGTTGTTATTCTGTCTCTCACTGTTCAAATAAACCTACCATTATAATGATAGACTGATCATTTCTTTGTCAGTGGGCAAACGTACAAAATCAGCAGGGGATCAATACTTTTTTCCCTCACTACATGGGCAGAAAGCTTAAATTCTTGTTAATCTAACTGCACTGTCCAGTTTACAGTAGCTATTACAGTGAAAAAATGCCATGCTATTGTTTGAGGAGAATGCACAACAACAAAACACTTATCACAGTAACTGGTTTGATACATTCACCTCTGAAGGTAAATAATATACTTACATTCAGTAATCTTGCTCTGATTTGTCATCCTAAGGGTCCCAGAGATAAAATGTAGCATAGTTTTGTTTGATAAAATCAATTTTTATATTCAAATGTAGGAACTTGGTTCTACAGTTTGAACCCCTGCTGTCTCTGGCTCCACACCCACATCGCCCCGCCATCTAGATGTGTGAAAGTTAGTGTATAAGCTAATGATCCATCCTGCATGACATTCCTGGGAGTGTGTAAACTTACATTTTGTATTACCAGGTCATTTTTGTATGTTCTCTATAGTTATGTACTTGAAAATGTATCAATTGACCAATTCTGCACATTTGGTCAGACTTGATACAAAATAGTCCAATATTGCAACGCTTCACGATCAATCTGAAACTTTGCACACATACTGCTGCCATCTAGTGGCCAAAATCTACATTGCGCCTAAACTGCAATATCATATTGTGGCCTTTCACTTCCATTTCAAAGATGATGGAACAACAACAACAAAAAGAACAGATGTTTTTTTGTTTGTATTATCTTTTACCAGATCTAATGTGTTATATTCTCCTACATTAATTTCACATTTCCACATACTTCAAAGTGTTTCCTTTCAAATGGTATCAAGAATATGCATATCTTTGCTTCAGG